AATCAGACTGAATATGAACGATTTTAAAGGCCCAAAAACTAATTTTCAAGACCCATTATATTGACAGTTGCTTTACAGACCTGAGTAGATAAAAATTGCCAATTTTCATTGAATCAGGTTGAAAATTAATGATTTTATAGGCCAAAAAGAGTGAAATTCTCAAGACTCACTATATGGATAGTATACTAAATCTTGGTCCGATCTATCCAATTGCTTGTCACTTGCTATTTAGGCCAATATTAACTTGTTGGATATTTATTAACTTGTTGAATATTTAAAGAAAGTGACAGCACATATACAAAATACATATAGTGTATAAACACCATTACTGAGTAAAATTTTTCCAATAAGAATTGTTCAATACTCAGTAAACAACTGCTAAAATCTCTCTCAAAATACGCTCATTTATTGAACTTTTAAGTTATCGAACAAAACTCAGTAATAATTTGTAAAAATATCGTTGCCAAAGGGAATTTCGTTACCCACTACCCAACCAACTAATAAACATTGAATATATGTACATACAAACATCTGTGTTTTGTTATTTTCTTTATACATCCCTCCCCTACGGACCACTGCTCCACGCATTCGGCGTACCAACTCCGAACGGCGGAGCCCCTCTGAGCTAACCATTATATGCGACCTGTACGTGTTTATAAACGAACTTGGGATTTGGATATATTCTCAAAAATATTTATGAGTCTACCTTGTTTCCTTTTGTATGTTACAAACATATGCAGGTATATCCAGTAAGCGGTCAGTATAACCGAAGAAAGAAGAAAGATTTGGAATGGAATTTAATGTCGAAATGGTATTGAACCAAATTTAAACAACATAGATATACACATATGCGTAGAATATTCGTATGTGCCACCTACATTGTGGATATGCAGTCAGCCGATCAGGTTAAGGTCTACACAAGATTGACCACCCAATAACGTTGTTTTTCCGACAATAAGCACCAAGACATGGACGGCAACAACAACAGTAAAATGTAACGTAACAAACTGATTCGAAAAGCAGAAGGAAAAACTTTCGCTTCATTACCATCAACAGCAGACTGGTGATGCCATTCCATGTTACTGGGAGAGCATCAGCGTGATTGTAGTCATTATTACTGAGTTGGTTTGCGTCTAATTGTATTTTCGTTTTGTTTGGCTATTGTGATCTGCGTTCAAAATAACGAAATTACGAATTTAAAAGTAATAACTGTCCCCCTCCTCGACAAATCCAACGGTTCTAAAGTGTGTCGAAGTTGAAAGTGCTCAATGGCAAATAAAATTGCATTACAACGTCGCCTAATATCAATAGCTCACATCGAATAATTTAACTGATTGGCAGAATTCGTATCGCATGTCTGCATCAGCGAGTTTTCGTTAGCTTAACCTTTTGTACCCCAACCTCATCCGCCGATCCGCCAAATTATCGCAGCACGTGAATCAATATGTGTAGGCAATTTATACGCCATCTTCAGCACACTAGGCCCAACATACAACGACTGCGGTCGATTGACCCATTGTGCACAACACACTGCAGTTTGAACTACTTGACGGGTGAATGTTACAACATCATCGAAAGTCTTGTTCGTGTAGAAGAAATATGGATAGGCAGACGAGCGAAACAATATGTCGAACGAGGCCACATAAAGCCAATTCCAAATTAGACGATTAACGGCACCAAAGCATGATAAATTAGAGTAATTTGTTAATAACCCTAACAATACGACCAATTATCGAATTGAAGTCCTTGAACACATATGTGATTGTGTTTGCGTTATGAGCTGGTGATTGCAGGTCTCCATGATCGGTAAGCTACCAACTATCAAAGTAACTCCATGGAGTTTCCAATTTCTGGCGTTACTGTGCTCAGTTTGCCTATAATTGTAAACAGGGCATCCCAAATGATGACAACTCAACGGGCTATAGTATCAATTTTTGAAAAAAACCTCATTTTCAGGTAGGGACGAAAAAAGTAATGTACATTTTTAATATCTGGGGTCTTTGGGCTTTGCTCCTGCAGCGTTTTATGTCTTTGTGGGTCACCGTTTACAAATATTTTTGTTAAAAATATTTTATATTTCATAAATATTTTATAATATTCACATGTTAATAATGGTATAAAAATAGCCGTTTAAAATGTTTAAAATGACCGTTAATAAGTATTTTGTGTTCTCATTGGGTAGGAAATCTTTGTACAACAAGTGAAGTGTCAGTCGGTGTTACCGACAGATATATACCCTCACCCTATGGTTTGCGGAGGAGGTATTCGGTGTTATAAACAGTTTTTATTATTCGTATATTTTGCATAAGGTCTAATTAAATATGTTTCGGATTTTATGTAGATCAAATATATAATAAAGACTCTTTTTGTAGGATGCACCAGAGGAGAGGGTAGACGGGTCCCACCATCGGACTTGGCTTAGACTTGGTAAAGATAACGGGTTGTGCAAAGCTTCGTTCAAATCGGAAATTCCATTCGCCTGGTATTGGATTTATCAATATTGAAAATTTTGGCCCTTTGACCCAAAAGGAGTGGACAAATGGGTCCCACCTTTAAACTTGATCTTCCTTGGTTATAATAATAGGTTGTGCAAATTTTGGTTGAAATCGGACATTCCATTCGCCTTATATCGGATTCATAAATATGAAAAATTTAGACCATTTGTGTGGGAGATACCAGAAGGAGTGGATCAATAGATCGCATCTTCGGACTTATTCTAGGCTTGATATAATAGGTTGTGCAAGATTTGGTTCAATTCGAACATTCCATTCACCTGATATTGGATATATAAATATTGAAAATGTTGAGGTACCAGAAGGAGATGACCAATGGGTCCCATCTTCGTACTTTATCTAGGCTTGGTAAAGAAAATAGGTTTACAAAGTGTCGTTAAAATCGATTATTCCCTTCGAGAGTTATCGTGCACACCAGCCAGACAGACAGAGGGACAACGGACGGACGGCCACGTGGAAATCCACTCCAAATATTCTGAAACGGATTTGATCCAAAGAAACATGGGGTCTAAAACCAATATGTCGATGAGGCACATTTTCATCGTATCAAAATGAATATACCCTAATTAGCCATATGGCTTAGGGCATAAAAACTACTAATATTAAGCTTCGGGGTAGACCCAATATAAACGTAACACCAATTATTCGGTATTTAGGGGTATTTGGGTATTTTGTTTTTCAGCCAAATTGGCTAGTTTAAAATTTAGATAGGGCAATAGTACGTTCACATTGTATCGGATTAAGTTAAACCAGTGGATTTTAGTTGTCAATTCCATTACATTAACCTTCCAAAAAGTTCTATTGTACATGTCGCTTAAGCCAAGAGTTGTACCCGCAATACTTAATCCAAAGATTTAATTTTTGTAATCAGTGTTTTCCCTAACAACATATATGTTTATGTTCTAACCATGAGTGTCCGTCTGACCATCGTAATTTATGCTCAAACTACAGGTCACAATTATGGACCGATTCTCAAGACATTTCGCAAAGATTTGTTGACATAAAGCACCAAGCGGGAATTACAGCTTTCCTTAAAGTGTTTCCGTGTTTTAACGTAGACCCCCATATAAATTGTAAAACTCACGACTCTTTAAATTCAAAATTTTATTTTCAAAAATTAATTTTATGTATTTTAAGCGAATTAAACATAACAACAATCTGTTTTGTCATTTAATGTTACAGTCAAGGATTATTCATAAGGTTAACAGGGAGGCGAATTCAAGGTCTCCATTGACTGTCAAATTTATAGTTTGAAGAATAAATAAACAAAAAAAATATTTTTATTCGAATCAAAATATATGTGTACATTATTACCATTACGTTTTTTGAAAGATATTTGAAGTTTTTATCCTGTTCTGGTTGGTATTTCGCGGTTAAAAAGTTGACAGCAAGAGAAGACTAAGGCATGAATTCGCCAGCCGGTTAACCTTATTAATAAATCTTGGTTACAATCAACTGGGTCGGTGCGACTACCTACTGTATCTTCCTTGGTTTGACAACATATGTAGATATCAGCTGTCCTTACTGGATGGCCTATTATATAGGCCTTGGTATTTACAAACTGAGGCATCGGTCATAGGAATCGGACATGAATTAGCCATTTCATTCAAAACAATTCATAATTCATGTCGTCAGAATTTATTTTTTTGACATTTTGCTTCTTGTTTTATACAAAAATTTGAACTTAATGGCGTGCATCACCTAAGGATCTAACAGAAAACCTACAGCTAATTACTTTACATTCATGTTTTTCTTTTTTTTCTAAAAATGTTTTTGATACATTTTTATATTTTCTCAATGAATACGATTATTTTTATTTTGGTTTATCGCACATTTGTTTCTATAACCTAATTACAACCGAATGCGAAGAAATATTTATTGGTTTAAGTAGAAAAGAAAATTGCAGATTTTTCCGTTTTCATTTATCATTTTTTCTGAAAATATTTGAAATGCCAATTAATTTTTTCATTCTGTCAAATTTAATTTTAGGGATGGTACGGATTTCTTTGTTGTTTAGAAAGTGATTCGAGTTGAATAATATGCAAAAGTCATTGTTGGCTCAGAACATTTTTATGGGGAACTCAGTAATTAATTCACAATGGCGGATCGAACAAAAACTCATGAAAATATGATACTGGAATACAAGGTTGAAAAAATGTCGTAATCCTAATGTACATTGTCCACTTTTCTAAAAGATTTACGACATTCTTTCTACGCTAATGTACTAATATCGTATCACTGAGTCTAGCGTTATTGGTTCGCATTACCATTCATCAGAATTTGCACCTATTTCATTGCTCCTCTTTCATAAAAATGAGAATAAAAATAACAATTTGCAACGAAGAGCATGGAACATGGAACTATACCCTCTTGGGGACAGCACAAGTACACTACTTTCACCAATACACAACTTATAGGATGTGATCCGTATTTAATTTGGAAATATGTACGCAGATAATAGAAATGCAACATAGATGTACGGCTGTCCTACGGACGCTTACTGAGTTTATGGAAATGGACCAGTTCACACATGAGAACGGAAAATGCGACAAATAGGGTGACGCCGTAGAGTAACCAAATCCACTTCAAGTCGTTAAGCTCGATCGCGTCGGCAATTTCTTCGGGTGTACTCAGATCACGAAATGCGGTTATATTCAGTCGAACCATGGTGTAGAAGTTGACACTTATCCAGTATTGCAGCAGACCAGTTTCACGCAAATGCAACAAATGCTGGTCGAAAAGAGATTTATACGGCAGATTTGGACCTAAGGGCACCGCTAACAAGGCCTGCTTACGGAGACACAATTTGGAGGAATAATAGAATAAGGGTCTTTGGAACAGATCCTGCTGTTCGTTGAAAACTTCCCATCTTGTGTTGGAAACGGGATAAACGAATCGTGTGTCCATGCTCTCCCTTAATTTCAAAAAGCGATCATATGGTTCTATAGGTGTGAATAGGTCTTTGTGCATGGCATATATTGAAGGATCCAGGAACTCAGATTCTTGTGAAGTTAGGGCAATTCGTAGGCCAGCTTCTTTCATATCCTCGTACGATTCTACGCGTTTTTCCAATGCAGGATGTATACGATTCGACTGCAGGTAGGCCTGATAAGTGGTGGATATAATCAGACTGGTGTAGCACAGTAGAAAACATATATATTGCAACAAGGGCCGTGGATTCTTGGGCATTACGAACGACTGGCCTAGTAGCACGCGTATGCCTTTATCATTTACCACAACATTCGAAAAAGATACGTTAAGTTTAATGGGTGCACATGCCACAGCGTCGAACAATATTCCGTACACAATAGCGAGCCCTGCTATGACAATCATTACTCGCCAATCTATGATATAGGTAAATATCCGGTTGCCCTTCATACGGCGAGGCAGAGGTATCATATAGCACAAATCCATTTGCTCCAACGGATAGGAGTACTGGATCGCAGAAAGTCCTTTATTTTTGTAGGGCGTAACAATGGCAGGCATATCAAGAAGACCCCTTGCGGTTTTATTCAACAACACTTCATAAAACACTGCCCTGCCCACCTCAAGTGGGGGCTGTATAACCAATGTGGCATCATATCTCTCGGCAAAAGAAGTGATGCAATTGGCCACGAAGCCTTCTAGTTGCAAATTGCCGTCTGTGTCGTAGTATAAAATACTGCGGGGTGGCAGTTGATCGGATTCAGTGATAATCCGCAACCCCTTTATATCCACATCGCGTTGCCGCAATAACTCAACAAAATCGGAAACGTTCGCCTTTCTTCTGGTGTGCGAGTGACACGTGTAAAATTGTTCCGAATTCTCAGAGCTCCAGTCCAAAAGTAAAAATTTGTTACCGAGTTCGCGCTTAAGGCATTTGCAGAAATCGTCGATTTCTCCAGTACTATCCATCCATAACACTTGACCATTCACAAATGGGGCATATGTGTCTAGTAGATGCGTACTTACATTCTGACAATTCCGCCAGCCACATCGCATCAATAGACCTTTCTTATGACGGCTCTGATCCCAGTTTCGAGTGCTAAAGTCGTGCGAGATGATCATATGTGGTTCTATAGTTATTCCATTTATTATCTCTGGACTGGATGCACAGTAATTATCCAAGAGCACTATGTAGTCATAATCCAGCTCTGACTTGAAGATACGCATTAGGCCCATGAAGCGTCCTTCTAATGCCAACTGCCTGTATCGGGTATCGGTTACGTCGTCATTATGGAACTTGCTTTCCAGACTTCTACAATTTGTTGGGCGATATGTAAACACAAACAGTAGCACCCCCGCACCAAAAAGTCGTTTCATATCCATGCCTAACCCAACTAAATGATACGAATGTAGTCAACGGTCGAAGTGCTTTAGACACGATTCTAAAATCGACATGATTAAATATGCATTGTAATGTAATGTCAAACACTGGTCGATTTGTCCCAACGCACATTGGGGACATTCACGTTTAAACTCGTAAAATCGCATTTATTATACGATAGACGTGCAGTTGTACACACGCCATATTGCGGTTAAAAGGTGGTATACATTCGGATACAACATCGGTATATCCAATAATAAAGCTCAGTAGAATAGAATGAATTGAGACATTCCTGCTGCCGTGCATTCCACATTGTTACGACGTGTCGTGCAAAAATATTCAATTTCTCGACTAGGACAAAAAAGGCGAGGAACGAAACTTACAAATTATAAATTTTGTTCCAATTGCTGATATTCTCATTCGCAATTTTGTTATTTTTCCGCAGTAGTTGGTTTGCTGGTGGGTCTAAAATTAGTGTGTCAAATATGCCAAGATTCAAATAGTCTGATTCAACTAATGGAAGGGGACGGGTACATGAGATACGTTCAAATTTGTAAAGGGGTCAACATATCGAGCCATATTCGCAAAAAAAAACGTAACCCTCAAATTTGAAATTTTACAGTAGAAGGTTTCTTTTAATAAATTCTGATTTAATAAAGCTATTATTTTGAAATTTTTAACTATAGTTTGAAACAAAACTAGTTTATAACAAAACCATAGTTCTAAATTTCAATGAAATAGCTTTATTAATTCTGAATTTATTAAAAGAAACTTTCTACTGTAAAATTTCCAATTTGAGGGTTACGTTTTTTGGCGAATATGGCTCGATATTGTAGTGTGGGCTATTATTAACATTACCATGGACGAAATTATATTTTTTCCTTTAAACTAAGTTTAGGTTTGCAACAGAAAATTATGAATTCCATTCTAGGAGTACCAAATTTGCAGTTACAAGGATGTTAAGTTCGGCCCGGCCAAACATTTTATACCTCCACCATGAGGATGACATTCAAAATATGTAAAATTAATGGGGGCTCCTAGGAGAAAACTGAGCTTATTATAGGACCTAGAATACGCCGAAAATGACGTGAGAAAGAGGTGACTACCCAATAGGGGGCTACAGGTATCAATATTGATATTTTGGGCAGCAAAATTTGACAGCCAATGAGAATAAAAATAATGTCAATTCGGTTGGTAAATGTGTCCCAAGTTCCCATGGGTCAATATTAATCCTTCTTGTAGCAAGAATATTCTCCCTTACTCTATCAAATGGAGTTATTTAATCATTTTTACAGAGAAACCTTTAATTTCGCTTTGAAATGTTTAATGGAAATGCCAATTTGTGTTTTGAGCAATGGACATCAGAGCCAGGGCCTATATAAGGTCGGCCAGTAACCGAATTCATAGAGAAAACTTAAGTTTAACGCCAATTTTTGCAGAGGCGAAAACTAATTTATATAGGCCTTGATCACAGCTTCCGATTACATAATGTTATTTGATCATTAAATATTTTCACATTCCAGAACTAATCACATAAAGCAGCATAAGCGACTCGTTTCCACGACAAAAGTGATAAGTAAACGGTTAGCAAACGATGGCATCGACAAATGAAAGAAATTCAAAACGAAAGTCATAAATCCTAAAAATATTATATAAACTAGTCACGACAACGAAATTTTATCACAACTACTCATGAGTGAAGATTCTGAAACAAATATGACATAATCATAATCGTGAAATATACGAAAATATAAATGCTCGCAAAAATGTTTTAATGTTACACTAATTACTTTGTATACAAACATGTTTAGCTATAGCTTTGGTTCTTTGGTGCACTATCGGGAAATCAAAAAAAAAACATATATGCGAGCTATATCTAAATCTGAAACCATTCTCACCAATTTCAATAGGATTCGTCGTTGGGCCAAATCCACTCAGAAAGAGACTCTATATTTACCCTCAAAACTAACATCGGATCTATCTTGTTTTCTTCGGTATGTTGCAAACATAGATAAATACAGAACACCTAGAACCAATATGTGCTGTGGGTATAAGGAGCCGATATAAATATTTGATGTTTTGTGAAACTTTTGTATTACATTTCCCCTTTGTGCAACGTACCCATAATGCATGAGTGTGAGGGCAGTTATTTACAACTTGCAATAGAGTTGTTGTTGTTTTTGAAATAATATGTTCAGCAAAAAGACACATGGAAAACAATTTGCGATATTTGCGATTCCCAAATAAAATTTGAGTGGTTAGGATAAGGTTTGCAATTAATCCTAACACAAATGGTGCGACGAACGATATGTCTGAAAATAAACGATATATAAAAAAAATAACTTCCAAAATTATGTTTAAAATAATTATTACGATATTGATAAAGAGTGGCTTCGGGCAATTCGTCTAATGTGGACCACCCACATATTTTAAAAAAGGCTTTAAGTATGGCAACGCCGCCACAATAATACAAGGTAGGGCAGCTTGAGGTGAATAACAAAAAAAGAACTATGCACGTGTGGCTTCTTCGCCAAAAATAAAATAGATATACGCAACAAGTGTTTATTTGACATTTTTCAACATGATGATTTCTTCACAAAGTCCAGTAGCGAAGGTGTTAAAAACATAATTTTCATTTCAATTAAATTTTAATATATTTCAATGTTTTACGAATTTATTTCACATTGTATTCAAAACAATACACACACGTACACAAAATATGTATTTTGATTTGATGGAACAAGCCACCTTGAGAAAAAAAATGTAATCAGTTGGTAGCTGTGCCCTACCTTGTAATAATTATACCATGGTAAAAGCCAACATAAAAGATGATTTTGAATATATAACAGCAACGTTGACATTTTAGGTAAATTCTTATTAATATTAATTATAGACCCCCTATTTCTTTGGACTAAATCCGTTTCAGACAATTTGGAGTCGAATTACAAATGTTCCACCTTCTGTCTGGCTGGCTGGTGTGCCGATAACTCTTGAAGGATGTAACCGATTTCATCCAAACGTTGCACATCGTAATATTCTTGCAGATGAAAATAGCCATCATACCAATGAATGCCCAATAATATATATATATATATATATAAATTAACCTTTTTATATAACAAGATACATAAAATATCACATAGTTGCCAAATGTAACACACTTAACTAACGGCAAATTAAGGACAAAGTTCAAATTTTTTATTTAGTTGTATTTCGTTTCTAATACATGTTCCTGTGTGTTGACAGCAATCTCTGATAAATTTTGAGTTTAAGGTTATTGGGTACGACATACAATGTATGTCCTCTAGCTGTCATCTATTTCTATAATCTGTTACCTGTAGTCATCTATATTTTCAAAACATTAATTAATACTTATTTTAGTGAAGTCTTATATAATATATACGAGGTTGTTAAATGAAAACATTTAGATTTTGAGTTTCGTGGGACTTTTGGTCGGTTCCAGAACCTACAAGAATCTTCTATTAATCGAAATTGTTTTCGATTTTAAAAACTACAAAAATTATTAATAAATATAATAATCTTGCAAAAAAAATAGTTCGTTTTTTAAATTCCGTTATTTTTTTTTTAAACATTTGCATATTTATAAGTAAATCCAAATGTTTTAGACAACATTTTGAAACTTTGTCAACGTTTTGAAACTTTGTAAATTTTATATGCAACGAATGGAACATCGAAATTGCTTCCAAACTTTGCACAAAATTTTTTAACCCAATAACCGTGGTGTGATGATGATGTCAAATGTGCACATTATAATACAGAGGCATTCCGGTTTAACGATTATGCGACTTAATGATTGAGCAATGTCATTATATAACGATGGTACTCACAACAGTTGTTCTCAATATAAGCCGTGTCTGTTTACTTTTCCAGTAACATTTATTCAGTAAGTTCTATTTAAAGGAGAAAGCCGTTTTTATTATCTTTTGTCATAATACTGAGAATAGTTAACAGACAACATTCAGTAGGATTCAGCACATAATCTCTAGATTCGCGAATTTTCTCCCATTATCTACATTTTTTATGCAACACAGTAAAAATTGCACTTTGGAAATTAAAAGTTTGGATATCTTGATTGGTCATAAAACAGCTGATTCAAAAATTACTGAGTTTGCAAATTTATACTGCATAAAATTCTTTCAGTAAAATATAGCAAGTTTTTTGTTGTTGAACTGTCAAACTTGCTCTCTCACTTTACTCTCTATTACTGGATTTTTGGGTAAACAGACAACATTTAGTAACAACTGTTACCAAATATCGAGTAAACAGACACAGCTATAACGATCTCACACAAAAACGAAAAAACCTTGATTGCACTCATAGTTCAGCAAAAACGCACAGAAACAAAAATCGTTACAATTCCAATTTTTCTTGGTTTTACGAACTAATTTTGCTTGACAGTCCATGTTATATCGCAGATCAGCAAACATTAAAATGCCTGCAAGAAAGAGATTTATGTTAAGTGACAAATTAAAGATCGCTGAAGATCATCGTTAAGGTGAATCTGTAAAGTCTTTACAAACACAGCTATCCTGAAGTCTGGTAAAAAGGGTCGTTTTGGAAAATGTTACCAGAAAATACATGTGTTTACACTGGGGAAAAGACTGTTGCAATGCTAGCGAAAAGAACCAAATAATGTCAATGATTGATAAATAGAAGAAATGATTGTGTGAAATTTGCGATTGTGTGTAAAAATAACTAAGCACATAAAGTACAAATTTTCTGAGTCATTATCGTCAATGAGCAGGTTTGAATTGTACCTTTGGGCGAATATAGCTAAATCAAAACTACAGTATATCAATAATACATATTACATATGTAGCAAGTAATAACGTATTATAGAAGGTATAATTATATAATTATTAGATAGAAAATTGAGAGCTACTCCAATTTTGAGAGATTGCAGAGATTTCCCTAGTCATGCATGGTGGAAACTTAATTTCTCTCGGCAATCGTAAGGAAAAGCCACATGAAATGACTTACT